TAACATATAATTTAAAAAACACTGCTATATATTATTTATTAAATATTTATAGCTAATATAACTAAACGCTTCTAGTAATAACCTGGATAAATAGGCTTTTATATATTAATATTATATACTTTAACCTTTTTATTAATAGCGCCTAGCTAAGACTATTTTTCTGGGGACCTTATAGCTTATAAAATGGCGAGATAACATTGGACAATAATCATGATAAAGAGAAGGCCAACGTGTGCCGACACTGAGTTTTACATAGTTCTACAAAGTTAATAAGAAGAGAGTCCTATACCATGTAGGGAGCTGTATAGCATCTCAAAGTTGCCCTCATACTTTATTATGTGAAATCTTGCGGGTATCGCGGTACAAGTTTTCCAGGGCCAAGTCACAAAGTATGTACATGTTCACAACTCCACAAGTCTAATATCTGTCCAGCCCAAAGACACGACGCGAATTCTACCGGACCCTTTGTGAATATTGTGCATGGAACAGTCATCATGTTGTAACGGAATCTCAAGCGTCAATCCTTGCCATTGCTACGTTCGTTTATGCATCACTGAGAACCCTAGGTGCGTGTCCTCCCGATTCCCGAAAGAGATTGTGGCTTACAAGAGGGGAAGCAAAGGCGGTGTTGTCTCGTCCAGGTTGTTCATCCTGATGGCGTTATTTCACCCAGTAATGAGGCCCATTGAGGACGGCAAAGGTATGTTCTACTCGGCATGCAGGACAGCCACGAAGTGTCACACCGCCCTGGCGCGTTCAGGGCTGAGGAATCGCATGGTATGCTGCAGTGAGTGATCCGCTCGAGGAGAAGTACGGCCGAGTTACCGCGTGGAATACCGTGAACGACATGGTTCGATTGCTTAAATCTCTTGCAGGAACAAGTCGTGGATTCGGCATCAATGGCGCCCGCCAGGTCCTAGCTACTTAGAGGTTCTGATCAGGGACGATGGTCCCGCGACAACTACGTAAAGCAATAACTAGGTACTTAAGTACCTACAAGTAAAACCTGGTTCCTGCTCTGTACCACAAGTAGCCTCAACGATGATGTTTAGAAAATGGGGTGTGCGGACATCGCGCCGGGAGGAGACATTGTCTCGATTGACATGGGCTGGGTCGAAATGAAATGGCACAACCAGCGGACCGAGACCTTTTCGACAATTCCCAAGCATAAAAATGTTTCATCTTCATCTGCCGTGAATGCATAACTTGCGCGGTGCTAATTGGCTCACGACCTCGGCACACCTTCCGATGATTTGTCCCGAGGCCTCAGTCCTGACCACTCCACGTTCATCTTCAGATTTCATGTCAATACTAGTTCAATTCTTCCATCTCGAATCGTGTATTCCATAGTGACTCGCAACATGTCGGAATCAGCTCCCAAGTCCTCGAAGTTTCGCCCGCTTCTTCCTGCTCCGCCTTCTGATGATGGCAGCATCGCCTCTAGTTCTCGTCGTTTGGCGAAGCAGTCTTCTCCCGTGACAGCGGCTTGCATAGATTGTCGAAAGCGTAAAACCAAGGTAAGGTCGTGATACTCCCATGCTCTCCTAAGCTGGGTTCTTCCGTCCTGCTCGAGCTGCTCCCTGATCAAGCTAACAAATCTTTGCCGTCTTAGTGCAGTGGTAGTCGCCCTACGTGCACTGCGTGTATACGGCGACATGTGGAATGCGTTTACGATAGGGGCCCTAACGAGACACAGGCCAAAGTGGTCAAACGCAAGTACGAAGAGCTAAAGAGCCACAGCACTCCATATGAACGTATATTTGACGCAATTCGCTCCCGGTCCGAGGCTGATGTGGGAGCCATTGTACGAAAGATACGGAGGGGCGAAAACGTAGATGACATTGCCCGTCAGGTCGAACACGGCGACTTGCTTCTGCAATCGTTTCTCGTACCCGAGACAAGATATCGCTACGAGTTCCCGCTTTCTTCGAACCTGCCTCCTTATCTCTTGCTTCAGTCCAATGTCTATCTGAAGTCGTTGATATATAAGTGGGCTCCCCCATTATCACAAGGAAATGCCGCCGAGTCTGGACCTTCTTCCTCACATCAACAGCCGGAGAATGCGTTTTCGGAAGCCGAGGCCCCCTACTTGATGCCGTACCATGCAGCCAAGATAATCGATACTCGGCTCAGTTCCGTTGCGCCATCAAAATGGACCAGTGTCAGCTCGGATGACCTGTTGATGAGAAGACTCCTCAGCGCATTCTTCCTCCAAGACCATGACTGGTGGACCGCATTCCAAAAGGACTACTTTCTTGAAGACATGTCCAAGATGCACGATGAACTCTGCTCGTCTCTACTTGTAAATGCGTTACTTGCATTGTCTTGTGTGAGTGCATCCATCTCAGCATCGTTGACCAGAATCTATTTGCTGATTGAGCATGGCGGCCCTAGAACTATTATCGCGGCCTCGATGACCGCACTGAGTTTTGGAATCCTCAAACCCTAGGCTACCGCTTTTTGGCAGAGGCCAAGAGGCTGTGGGAGTATGAGAAGGGTCTCGATAAGCTAACGACCATCCAGGCTGCTCTTGTTTTCCACGTCATCTACAGCGGAACTGGGGCTGACAAGATCGGATATGCCTACACAGTCCAAGCATGTGCTATTGCCCACAAGATTGATCTATTCAACCCAACCTCTGTCACGGAAAATACCAGGTTACGTGACGCCAGGCATTACACGGCATGGGCATTGTTTAGTTGGCAGAGGTAGGTCTACGATCCCGAAACAGATATCTCGGCAAAAAAAGAAGAAGAAGAACGAAAAGAAAAAAACTGTCCCTTTCATAGCCGGACTAATACGGATCCCTAGTCTTATGTCATTCCATTACTTCAGGCCTCCTCTCTTCAATCGACCACCAGCTAGCTTGCCAGATCCGAAGCATGAACCAGAGTGGTACGGCGAAATCTGGCTCAAGTACCCTCTTGGCAGGTCTCTGTTTCCCAGTAGCTCAGGGGACGTTTTCAAGGCAAGGGCCGAGTTCGCCGTAATACAAAACGAGGCAGCACAGAGATTGTTTGCCGGTTCAACGCCAGCTCCGCAGCTCTCTGCTGCAGAAGTTGCAGTTTTCTATTTCCGGTTTAAGGGCTGGTACGATAGCTTGCCGGAAGCACTGTCTCCTCGAAGAGCCGTGCTGCCATCCCATCTCAAACTTCAGTAAGTACAACCTTCAAATTACTTTGTAATAGGTAGTTACTTTGCCAAAGTGCTCTGTCTGCTGGTTTCGGCACGAAGCCGAGCCATGTTAGGAGTCGCAGTGCTTCTTGGCGCACTTGCCGAGACGCGGTACCAGTAAGACATATCTTCTGACAAAGACTACTCAGTATGCACTACTTCCAGATTCTTCTTAGACTTTTCCAGTCCCCAAGCCTCATAAATGAGCCCGGGTCAGAAGCGGACGCAGCCGTGGTTAATCTCTTTGGCCAACCGCCCCAGGAGCTCCTCTCCTACGCAAAAGCCAGTCTAGAGACTTTGCTGCGAGCTTACTACTTACGACATGGCTTTGAGTGGCTCGACACATATCTCCTTTCCCTCATGCTAGACGTGGCTTTCATCGCTATTGAAGAGATGAAGGTCCAGGGCAGTGACGCAGATCTCTCCGCACTACGTTCAACTATCATCCTGCTTGCCAAGGGCATCTACGAGCAAGGACAGAATTTGTTCCTGGGGAAACTGGTATTTAATGTGGTGAGAGGCAAGATGCGCTCCGAGGACTTGGATACACTGGGGCAACTTGCCAGGATTGAAAAGATAGGGGAGAAGGAAGCCATCGGCCTCCAGCAAGCTCAGATGGAATGGCCGGTTCAGATCACTAGCATGGCGGACGATCCGGGGTCAAAGAAAATTGGCGATTTATCCAAGAAACTTATGGAGACGTCGCTAGAATCACCTGGTGAGGATAACACTTTATAGTTTAGTAAATACGACCGGTTTCTGAGGCTCATGGAGTTGTCATGACTATTCGAGACTGCTAGGCAAAGCACGAGGTTCCCAAAGTCAAAGCCACGAATGGCTATTGGGCTTGACCATTAAGATATGAAGGAAAAGATGCAGCAACAGCGGGTCTTGGCCAGATATCTAACATCCGGCTTATAAGTGTCTTCATTTGGCGTTTAGCTGCGCTGCAACGATCATCTCCTATATATGTCCTCCAGCGCCGTCACTGATTCACTGTACGTATAGGTAAGCCTAACGTCGCAATACGTTTCCGGTCTCTGTGCTTATCTCTCGTGATGTCATCACCACTGTACGTTTATTGGAAGGAAGGCCCGGCAGCAGTCGAAGCAGGAAGCAGGAAGCAGGAAGCGCCAACGCGCAGGTCTAGCACTTTGTTTCACCCCAATTCACGACGCGTTTCGCGGAAAAGCAAAATTCTGAGAGTATTTACTCTACGCCGCAAGTTTTCGTTTGTTGTATTTTTCCCTTGCTGTCGACTTTGGATTTATTCATAGCGGATACGTATCAGCTGAACTGGAGTCCCGAGTCCCGGCAAACACTGGCCCGCCAGCGCATCATGTCTTCCGGCGAAGGAGAAATGGGCGACGCCCACCTCGGGCTCGAGTACAAGCCAAAAGTAGTGGCCTACTGGGACCGCAGGGGGTGGGATTTCGAAGGGGTAGTCAGGTTGACGATGGGATTCACCCAGGTCAAGACGGGGCACATCTCGAGGCACGAGAAAGTGGTGTGGTTTGTGGAGTGTGCTTCCAAAGCAGAGTGTCGCGATGCGTGGCGCGATTGCCGGTGGGTGCTTGGGCGTCGTTTTGTCGTTGTTCCTACTCCCTTGCGGTGAGTGCTGCTGCCGACGGGGACGGGGTGTACGTGGTGCTGTTGATTTTGACGTTTGCGCAGAGTGTGCGTCGTTGGGAAGGACATGGAGTCGCTTGAGGATCTCGAAGTCGTTTAGGGTGTTGGATTGGCCGGGATTGGGGGTCTTTCAGGGAAGACTGCTGCTGGACGATGAGTTTGGTCAGCTTCTGGATGGATAATCAGGGGCTCGCTCTTTTCAGGGGGAAAGGAGGTCGAGAGATGGATGTTGATGTTGATGTGACGGCTGGCGACTCGTCTTGGGGAGCAGGGAATGCGAGGATTCCTTGTTTGTATCGTCGGTTACATCAATAAATGAACTATTAGAGGATAATCGCCGGGTCGGTCGAGGAGCCGGGAGCGTGAGGAGTCGTTGGTCATGTTGATGTAAACGAATTATTGAAGGGACAACTGGCGACTCAAATCGGAGTGGAAGGCGTGTGAGCCGTCAATGTCACATGGATGGAAACGAAATTCTAAAGATAAAAGTAGCGGCTCGGCTGAAGGGCCATGTAGTTGGACGGCTCAACTTGCACCTCCTGATGGGCATAATTCTTGTTGTAAGGAACATGATGGATACCAACCAGAATAAGACCTCCACTTGTAGGAGGCCTCCATTTTTGTCAGAATCGTTAAACAGTTCTGAACAGAAAGTTCGCGACTCGGATAAACGGAAGACACGGCTGCTGGTGGTCAGATTGGATGCGACGTATCGACTGCGTCTGGGCTGCGCCATCCATCTAGCTCTACCGGTAGAGCTCATGGGCGTGGTTACTCAAAACCGCGACTGGAATCAGATAAGAATAGCCAGCTAATCACATAGATCCGCGGCTGTTGAGACTGCGCAATCACCTCTGCCGACAGTTCCAGGTGAACTGTAGATGACGTTGGACACTCGTGGCCAGGGCTCAGGAGGGTTCATGTCGACATCTGTTCATCTTGATCAGGGCGGACAGTTCCAATATAGGTTGCCAGCTGATGGCTCTTCTGCCCGATGATACCCCTTTGTTTCATGACATGGAGCAAATATCTCCGTCTATGCCTTCGACACGAGCCACAGCAGACAATGGCCGCCTGTGAACGGAGCGAATCAGGGGCGATGTCTCTTTGTCTTCATCAGGGCGTTTTGTCTGTGCCGAATCGTCCAGGCCCCGGCCTTGCTTTCACTTTTCCAGTCTCCATGCGTCCAGACTGGCCTTTCTTACCGTGGCTCAACTTTCATTCACAGATTCATGCCCAAGGCTAGAGTCTGGAACACAATGGCCTTGCTTCCGCTTCTACACAGCCTCCATGCGTCCAGACTTCAGACTGGCCTTTCTTACCGTGGCTCAACTTTCATTCACAGATTCATGCCCAAGGCTAGGGTCTGGAACATAATGGCCTTGCTTTCACTCATGCGCAGTCTCCTTTTAGTCCCTCATACTCCAAACTTACTCTTTCTGATCCAGGCTCGCTCTGAACAGCGTGGTGTTCCTGTCAACACAGCTACCAAGCCACGCTGTTTAGAAAATCTTGCTGCCCAGTCCAGCCCTGGGGAATCGGAGAATCATCGCGTTCTTCAGTTCCGCCGGGGAGTATAACGGAGGAGTTACTCTGTGGTGTGGTTGAGAAGGTCATAATAACACCATGGAAAGAACGGTCACTTTGGCAAAAAGAACGCGCTCTAATTGAACAGCGACTATACCCCCTAATATTTTTGTTTACAGTCAGCAAAACTCAAAGAAAAGAAAAAACGAAAATGTCAGTGGGTGTCGAGGCACACACCACTCTGCTCTCTTGCGGCAATGAGAATAGTCTACATGGTATTCCAGACTTTCACATGTAAACCTCGAGTCCGAGAGCTTTTTAAATGCAGCTCTATGTTTGGATGGTGCCTGAAATGCGTAACAAGACATGCAGTGTGGTGTGCTACACAAGAGAACAGGATGCCACGTCGTAAAATGCAGGACTCGGTTTGAACACTTGCAAAACTCAGTCATTATTCCAACGAGCATACAATCAGGCACTCAGGCAACCCATGAGACCTGAAAATCCACGTTCCTCATTTGTCGCGTTGGGTTGATCCGGCCAGTACATTCTTTGAACACACGAGGCCGAACAGTAGGGGGGAACGTACAAAGACGCACGGCGTGTCTGTGAATAGCTACGAACAAGATAAGCTGCTGCTTTGTGAATCATATGTGATGGCATTCATCTATGAACATGTGGAATATGAAACATCATGCACGTATTGGAAGCTGCATGCATATGTCGTTTCCAGGAGGCTCCGTATTTCCACTCACTTCTCATTTCGAGCTTCATTGCCAGTCTTACTCGTGCTGACTTGGTGGGCGGCAGAGATGATGAACAGCCTGGACTCGTGGGCTCATGAAATGACAGAGTGGGGGAGTGGTGGAATAATAGAATGACAGAGCTGTCTATATAATGGCTCTCTTTCTTCCTCCAGTTTGAGGTTTCATCTCTGGCCACGGACAACCTCACGAAATACCGTTCAACACACACACGCACACACACGCACACACGGTTACTCATACACATACGCATACACACCTTCAGCCAGGGCAGTCACGACAAGTCTCTCGCACTATCACCATGCCAGACCGCCCGAACACATCTTCCTCCACCTCCTCCGAGGAGCCACTAAATGCTGAACCAGTACCCAACTGGGACGACAGAAGCCCCCTTTTCAGCATCCGGCTATGCGTAGAAAACATGTCGAGCTTTCCTAGTTTAGAAGCCGATGTAAAGTCGATGTTCTGTAAGTAGCGATTGCGATTCAAAAGGAGAGTCGGGCGTGTAACTAATATGTAAATGACATACAGATCCAGTGGCTCCATATCCAAGCATGATTGAAGTCCAAAAATGGCAACATGGGGAAATGTTTGGCGTTGTTTTAACGTGGGACGGAGTTCAATTCAATGGTGAACCACTTGAAGCCAGAGTCGTTTGGAACCTTGCTGCGCGGCATATGGAGGACTTTGATATTTTGGGGTGAGTGGAAATTAAATCATCTTTTATTTGGGACGACTACGGCATCTTGTTCCGAGGCTAACATGTTATATATAGAATACACTACGAGTTTCCCAACATCCAAGCACCCTATCCCAGTGGCTGGGAGCCGATAGAGCAGGCAATCTTTCTCACACAAGACAATGGCCCTGTTGAGTCAACAACAGCAACGTAGCCGAGTGGGATCCGGGTGCTCTTCTAGCTCAAGATTCAGACGTCAACTCTTGGGCACCGTGTCTATGCACATGGCCGGCTCTCACGGCTCTCTCTTTCTCTCTCCCTCCGTGGCGGAGGCGCATGATCGGTGTGCGCCAGCAAATGTTGATCAGAACGTGACGGCATATCACGCTGCCTTTAATACGGAGCTTCCTTTCTGCGACTACATTTCGTGAGATGCCACGACTACTGCCGAGTTAATCGGCTGTTACGCCAAGATGGGGGAGAGAAAATCTGGCTGGGAAGTTTTTTTTTTTTTTTTTTTCCACGTCTTGTTGGATTTCAATGGGTTGCATTTCTGTGGTGGAGATTAGGTAGATTTTAAGGGGAGATTGGTGGAATGTACGCATGGGGTTTTTCTTTCTGGTACCTTGGGGAACGGCCCGAGCCGAAATCTCTAAGAGTGCGACCTTTTTTATTCGGATCTTGATGGTTGTGGTTCAGGGAGTCTGGATCGAGTTTTGGAGATTAATACGACACTTGGATTGCCATTCAAATCAACTATTTCACTTTACCTTACACCAGTAGTTGCATTTCGAATTGTGATTGATACGGTTTCGGGTCATTCATACAAAATATGCAGTTAAATGGCGCAGTTACCTGCCAAGAGGAATTCTAGCATGGAGGCGAAGCCGTAGCCGTTGACTGGATGAATTGTACGCATGTCGTCGTGCAACCTGCAGATACATATTGCCTAAACCAAGTAGTAAGTGGGCGGCCCGAGTTGCCGCATCTAGATCGGGAAAATGCACCCGCAACTTTAATTGAGTCGTGCATGAATGCGCGCCCTATGTCAACATCCCGCCAAGTTGCGTCAATGTGGAGCCTCGCGCTAGTTCATGATGTGGTGTCTAAGGTGCGTTGAGGTGAGAAACCGCACGGGGGCAGTCAATATAAATACTATACCTTAATACCGGCCAATACGCAGGTGTGCCTGAAATAACTACAAAGCACAAAATTCAGTCGCTTCTGTTGAAAACGCTGCACCCCCCAGCCTACTGCCTCATCTTGCCATCTTTGATTTCCACTCTAGTAAACCCCCCATCAGCCTCACAGACCCTCCACAATGGGCAGCACATCCGCCGCCCACAAAATACTGCAGTCAGCGCACGTCGCCCCCGAAATCTACAAGCTACGACCCGACTACCGCGCCCTGCTCATGGTCGTCGAGGGCATCCCCCCCGGCCCCAGCGACGACAGCAGCGAGGCCCTCCTCCTCGAAGCCGAAGCCTCGGCCAAGCACCTGCTGGCCGAGCACGCCGTCACCGAGGTCCCGCACATCGCCGCATGGCGCGAAACGTACAGGGCCTTTGGGGCGAAGCCGCAAAAGACGCGCAACAGCCTCGAGGCGCTCACCCGCCGTGCCGCAGCGGCCGGCGGCCTGCCACGCGTGAACCGCCTGACGGACATGTACAACGCCGTCTCGGTGAAGCACCAGGTTCCCCTGGGCGGCGAGGACCTCGACAAGTACGACGGGTCGCCGTTTCTGACCCGCGCCAGCGGCCGGGAGGAGTTTCGCAGCCTGGCCGGCGGCGAGGTAGAGGTCGAGTGCGCCGCGCCCGGGGAGCCCGTCTGGTGCGACGACGCCGGCGTCACTTGCCGCCGCTGGAACTGGCGGCAGGGCCCGCGGACGGCGCTGACTGACGATACGACGCGCGTGCTGTTTATCCTGGATGCGCTGGGGCCGCTTTCGGATGAGGCCTTGGAGAGGGCCGCCGAGGAGCTTGCTCTGGCGTTGGGGCGGTTGTCTCCGGAGGTGCGGGTTGCGCAGAGAATGCTGAGTGCTTTGGATGCAGCTGAGGGTGGTTCGTGATGTCACTTTGTGTGAAGGCTTGGAGGGAGAGACTGGGAGCAGTGGTCAGCGGGTAGTCTTGACTCTTGACAAGGGGATCCATCACGGTGGGTTCGGTATGTCAATCTCGGATGATTATAGATGATGTAAAGCTGCTTTAAATGCCCTTGTCAATGACGCAGTTTCTCCAATATTGTTTCAAAATGCAGGTTGGACCGTTGACGCCTTGAATTTGATGTTGTGAGACCTGCAGGCACTGGCACCAGTTGACCTGTGCAGTCGCCGGGAGGAGTGGAGACCTTAGGCTACAAGCACTTCAATGTTGCTAGCTTGAGACGTCTGCCTACAAAGATTCAGGCCTTCCCGTGACAGCTGAACTGATTCGACTTCTTCACATATTTCTCACACAACACCATGGCCCCCAAACGGATTCTCAAATTCCCCCAAAGCGAAAATGAATCATCATATGTTCTCGTCCAAGTTTCGTCAAAGGGCTCAAAGCCACTGGACCTGAAATTGGTCGGCACAGAAGGCGAGGCGCCCTACGTGTGTTCATGTGAGTGAACAGTAGCCCGCGCCTTTGTCCCCAGCACTCTCGCCCATCCCATTTACACGGACAAAAAAAATAAAAAATTGATGCAAGAACTTTACTAAATCCATCCCAGTACGGCATGACCGAGTTGCATCTCTCCGCGTCAAAAACTGCCCCGTCTCCGAAGCCGAATGGCAGACCATACTGCAGTCCGTCTTCGAGCAGCAGCCGCTTCCAGATATCCAGGCATCCGCCACGGTGCAAAGCGGATCGTCGGTATCTCTCACCATCCGCAAACAAGTCCAAGGCATCACTGTACGTGCTCGTGCTTACCCCGTCTCTCACATGATTGCCAAACCTAAGTCTTGCAGCAACGTCTCGGCGCCATCACGCTCACCCACGACGGGGGCGAGGCCATCGAGCTGTTTGAATGGTGTGCCACTTCCGTCGACGCCGTCACCCAAGCCAAAGCAGCCGCGTCCGCGTCTGACGTCCGGGTCCGAGACCTGCAAACTGCTGTGGGTGAGCTCAAGTCCCAGCTGGATGAGCTGGTCGCCGCCAAGCAGGAGGACGAGGTGGTGCTGCTGCAAAAGTTTCGAGATTTGCTCAACGAGAAGAAGGTCAAGATTCGGGAGCAGCAGAAGATCATTACGGACTTGTCTGCGAATGACGCCCCCCGGGAAGAAGTGGATGAGGTGGACGAGGTGGACGAGGTACAGACCGTCAAGAGGGGGAAGAAGGCGCCCAAGAGAAAGGCCCAGGCTGTTGAGAATGAGTCCCCCGAGGAGGATGTCGATATGACGGCTGAGAAGGGGGAGTCGGAGGATGAGGATGGGGAGAGTACGACGGAGGCGACGGCCTCTGTGGCCAATGACGAGGACGAGGATGAGGATGAGGACATGGACATGGACAGGACGGCGGGCGAAGCTGCGCGGGAGCCATTGCCGCCTCAAAAGAAACAAGATGCGCCTCCGCCGCCGCGGGCTCTGCCGTTTCAAAAGAAGAAGCAGGCAGTGGCTGCGGATGATTCGGACGACGATGAACTATGAGGTTGGGGACTCGGGAGGCTGCCATATCCTCGAGGGTGTATGCTAGGCATCACGAATTTCTTTCTCCCAACACAAATAATTTACAAAGGTAAAAACAATATTCATGTTTGTTTTCCCATGGCAAATTCTACTGTCCTATGTGGGAATTAATCGACAGCCTTCTCTTACCGCCTGTCATCCGGGCCAAATTTGTTCAACCAGAAACCACGAAAGTGATACCGGTTGCCCACCTCTGCTATCCGCGCCACCTCCTCCTGCGTGAGCTCAAACGTACCCAACTTGGCCAGGTAGTCCTGCAGCCGGCCCTTATTCGAGCTCGTCGTGAGCGCAACCAGGCCCTGGTCCAAGATCCACCTCAGCCCAATCTCGGACTCGGAAACGCCATACTTGCCCGCCAGCTCCGACCACACGGCGTCGACGGGCCCGCCCTTGGCCCTCGTCAGCGGAAGCAACGGGCCGTAGCACGAGACGGCAATGTTGTGCTTCTTGTGGAAGGCGACCAGGTCGCCGTGCTGGAGGTACGGGTGGTACTCGATCTGGTTGATGGCCGGGACCACCTTGGCCGTCTGGAGGATGACCTCGACGTGCTCCTGGAGAAAGTTGGAGACGCCGATGGACTTGGCCTTGCCCGAGGCCTTGATGGCCTCGAGGTCGGCCCACTTCTGCTGCAGCTCCTCGTGCGAGGCGGCGAACCAGGGCCCGTGGAGGAGGTAGAGGTCGACGTGGTCGAGGCCCAGCTTCTGGAGGGACAGCTCGAAGGCTTCTTGCGTGGGCTTTTGCTGCTCGCCGTGCGCCTTGGTGGTGACGAAGAGCTGGCTTCTGGGGACGCCGGACGCCTTGATGGCCGCGCCGAGCTCTTCTTCGTTTCCGTACACTGGGCTCTTGTTAGTGCGTCTGGTGTGCTGGTGGGGGCGTGGCTGCGCTTGCCCTCTGCTCCATCAAGGTGGTGATATCCGAGGTCTATGGCCGTCTTGGTGATGGCCACGACGGACTGGTCGTAGCCCGAGGTGCTCTTGTAGTTGGCAGTTCCGAGGCCGTATGCGAGCTGTGATTTTATTAGTGTTCGGTGGATTTGAATATCTGACAAGAGGGGTGTGGGAAGGGGGCCAGGAGAAAGAGTGAACCGTGTCATGCTCGCTGGGTACTTACTACTGGGATCTCATTGCCGTCGTTGAGCTTTAGGGTTGGTGGGAACGAGCCCTTTGAAGCTGCGTCACTTGAGGCCATGTTGTTGGACTTGTATGAGAGTAGGAGCGTGATTTGGTAATGTAGAGCTGTTGGGGGATGAGGCTACTGAGAAATAGGAAGAGAAGAAAATGAGCAGAGCACAGTCGCAATGTGCCAAGTCGTTGAACATATTGCGACATGATGTCGACGTCTCCCCGCAACAGTGGAGGCCGGGCTAGTTTACTGCCGGGCGCCAACGTCGGAACCGGAATTAAGGACGGAAACAAGCGGTGTTACAAATACAAGCCCGACTACGGAGAGGGCGAGACAATAAGTCACGCAACTCACTTTGTTTTTCTTCTCATTTCTTCTTCCTCCTCAAGGCCGGATGCAGGTGTATGATGTGGAAATGAAGCCGATGGAGTTGATGCATGCAAGCACGGCAGGCACTGATATTATTATATATTGTAGGGTAAGCATCTGGTCGGAACCGACGTTGACGGCAAATGGTCATCTAGCGGATAAGTCTGGAAAAGCTTGTAAATGGCTGGGTATCTATCGCCAATGATTACTTCATCTGCCTACTGATGCCCTCTTTTTCTTGCCTTGTATTTTCATTTCTTTAATTTACTCAACTTGCTGCGCAGTGCCGCTTACACACACTCGGTGCATGTCCAAACGCCCGCAATGTGGGGCTGAAATGATGTTATCCATCCGGGCCGACACCGTCGCATTGACGTCAACCCTCCAGTCTACCAGGCAACTACATGGCCACCGGACCGCAGGAGCAGCAGTCTCTGGAACATGATCCACCGCCGAGCCTTGCACTGATCCAAGCCCATCCCAAGCTCGCGCAGCACCGAAATCCAAGGCTGAACCGCCGTCGATGCTATACCGCGCAGTTGTGCGAAGAGCTGTCCCGCGACTCCGAGCTCCGTTCAGCATGGCCGCGAACCACTCGACGGCCGCAGGCGCCACGCTTCAAGACCTCCCCAAGTCGTGGCACTTTACCGAATCCCTACCGCCCGATTCGGCCTTCCCAACACCCGCCGACTCGCACAAGACACCCCGCGATCAGATCCTGCCGAGGCAAGTCCGCAACGCCCTGTTCACCTGGGTCCAGCCGGAGCAGCAGAAAGACCCGGAGCTGTTGGCCGTGAGCCCAGCCGCCCTCCGCGACATCGGTATCAAGGCCGGAGAGGACAAGACGGACGACTTTCGACAGCTTGTCGCGGGCAACAAGCTGTACGGATGGGACGAGGACAAGCTGCAGGGCGGCTACCCGTGGGCGCAGTGCTACGGAGGCTTCCAGTTTGGCCAGTGGGCCGGCCAGCTGGGCGACGGGCGCGCCATATCCCTCTTCGAGTCGCAGAACCCGGACACGGGCAAGAGGTACGAGCTGCAGCTCAAGGGCGCCGGCCTGACGCCGTACTCGCGCTTCGCCGACGGCAAGGCCGTCCTGCGCTCCAGCATCCGCGAGTTCGTCGTGTCCGAGGCCCTCAACGCCCTCGGCATTCCCTCCACCCGCGCGCTGTCCCTCAGCCTCCTCCCGCACTCCAAGGTTCTGCGCGAGACCGTCGAGCCGGGGGCCATTGTGCTGCGTTTCGCAGAGTCTTGGCTGCGCCTGGGCAACTTTGACATTCTGCGCGCGCGGGGCGACCGCGACTTGATACGGAGGCTGGCCACGTATGTCGCCGAGGACGTCTTTGGCGGCTGGGAGAAGCTGCCTGCCCGGCTGGAGGATCCCGAGAAGCCTGGGGAGTCGCCTGTCCCGGGGCGTGGAGTGCCGGAGAAGGAACTCCAGGGACCTGCTGAGACGGCTGAGAATAGGTTCACCCGGCTGTATCGCGAGATTGCGCGCCGCAGCGCCAAGACGGTGGCTGCCTGGCAGGCGTACGGCTTTATGAATGGTGTCTTGGTAAGTTGGGTTGAATGTGATGGATGACCTTGACGTCTGGCAGGTGGAACTGACTATTTTGTTTTTTTCTCTTGGCAGAACACTGATAATACGTCTGTATATGGCCTCTCAATAGACTTTGGCCCGTTTGCATTCATGGACAATTTCGACCCGTCGTATACCCCCAACCACGACGATCATATGCTACGATATAGTTATAGAAATCAGCCCACCATTATTTGGTGGAATCTTGTACGATTCGGCGAGGCTGTGGGGGAATTGATGGGCGCGGCAGGGCTTGCTGACGATGCCGCCTTCATATCGGAGGGCGTCAAGGAAGACCAGCAGGAGGAAGTCATATCACGAGCGGAGAAGCTCATCATGCAAACCGGCGATGAGTACAAGGAGGTCTTTCTGGGAGAGTACAAGAGATTGATGACGCTCAGGCTGGGCCTGCGGGAGCGCAAACCCGCTGATTTCGATGAGCTATTCAGTCCGGCTCTCGACACCCTTGAAGCCCTAGAACTCGACTTCAACCACTTCTTCCGTCGACTTAGCAATATCAAATTGGCAGAGGTGTCCTCGCCGGAAGGGAGAAGGGAAAAGGCTGCCGTCTTCTTCCACACGGAGGGACCGCCGAGTACCGTAAGTGAGGATGAGGCTCGCGACCGTATCGCGAAATGGTTGGACAAGTGGCATGCTCGCGTGGTGGAGGACTGGAAAGATGGGGAACAAGTGTCGGACGAAAAGGACCAGGAGAGAATTGAGGCCATGAAACGAGTAAATCCAAACTTCGTTCCTAGGGGCTGGGTCTTGGATGAGGTTATTCGGCGAGTCGAGAAGGAAGGAGAGCGAGATGTTCTGAACCGCATCATGCACATGGCCCTGAACCCGTTTGAAGACGGGTGGCATGGCAAGACAGTTGATGATGTTGCATATAAAGGGGATGCCGAGGAGGAACAAAGATGGGTTGGCGAGGTCCCTCGACCGGGACGGCTCATGCAGTGCAGCTGTAGCTCATAGCGAGTTTTTCAACATATCATAGCCATCAAAAGACACATCCCTATCCCACCATGACCAACTCTAGCGAGTCTGAATCTACACATATCATTGCCAAGGATAAAGTCATTTGATGGAATGTAACGACCGGCGGTAAGAGGCAGCGCTCATCGAGATTAATTTCTCTCCCATGCTTCCATAATCGGCGTACTGAAAATTTTCTCTGGGGCACAAGATAGAGGAAGACTCGACTGAAGACATCGCGTCCACTGGTGCGGACGCGAAGCTCAAGCTCACCTACAATAAAGTGTGCTCGTGTACAATTAATATGGAAAGAGAAAAAAGAGAGCTTGCAGCTCCGCAAATTTCGGACGAAGTTTATGGTGGATTCGATTGGAGGTTCCGGCCTCAGGCATTCATCCGCCGGCAGCTAGCCAATCAGAGCGCATGTAAATTAATCGGTGTTTTGTGGATCATTGCTAATGCTTCCGCTCGGCCACTTCTCTTCCAGACGTCAATGATTGAGCCTTTATTTCGCTGCAACGCCTTGCATTGTCTATTCCCTTTATTCCGTCAAGGCGACACGATGCTCCGACAGTCTCTGGCACGTTCGGCTTGGCGGACAAGCAGGCGGACCGTCAACGCCTCGCGGACCTTCGCTACCACCCCCAGACGCCAGGCGGAGGTTGAACTGACAGTTGGTGAGCAGCTTTTTGCCCTGCCCTGCCATTGACGCCTGCACACGTGCTAACGCCATGCTAGATGGAAAGAAAGTTTCGATTGAAGGTACGAGATGACTATTGTAGAAGGTCTGGCGCCAATTGTTGTTGACCCGGAGTGTAGCTGGTTCTGCCCTGATCCAAGCGTGCGAGAAAGCAGGCGTTACGATTCCTAGGTGAGTGTGGGCCCCAGGAGATGCCACCCGATCAAAGAAGATTCCTAACGATTGAATTAGATATTGCTACCATGAGTACGATTCCCCGTTTGAATAGCCGATGCCGAACACGAGCCCCCCCCTAACAAATGTGTTACAGAAAACTCATGATTGCCGGAAACTGCCGAATGTGCCTGGTTGAGGTCGAAAAAGCCCCCAAGCCCGTGGCCTCATGTGCCTGGCCAGTGCAGCCCGGTATGGTCGTCAAGACCAACTCACCTCTTACTCACAAGGCCCGGGAGGGTGTCATGGAATTCCTGCTCGCCAACCACCCGCTCGACTGCCCCATTTGCGACCAGGGAGGCGAGTGTGATCTCCAGGACCAGTCTATGCGATACGGAGCCGACCGCGGCCGATTCCACGAGATTGGCGGCAAGCGTGCCGTCGAGGACAAGAATATCGGACCGCTGATCAAGACGTCGATGAACCGATGCATCCACTGCACTCGATGTGTTCGATTCGCCAACGATATCGCTGGTGCTCCTGAGCTCGGCTCTACCGGCCGCGGCAACGACTTGCAGATTGGTACCTACCTTGAGAAGAGTCTGGATTCTGAGCTTTCTGGAAACGTCATCGACCTCTGCCCCGTCGGTGCTTTGACCTCTAAACCCTACGCCTTCCGTGCCCGACCCTGGGAGCTGAAGCACACCGAGTCCATTGATGTTCTCGACGGCCTCGGTTCCAACATTCGTGTCGACTCTCGGGGTTTGGAGGTTATGCGTATTACCCCGCGTCTCAACGATGATGTGAACGAGGAATGGATCAATGACAAGACCCGATTTGCCTGCGATGGTCTCAAGACCCAGCGACTGACCATGCCCTTGATTCGTCGCGAGGGCAAGTTTGAGCCCGCTGACTGGGAAGAGGCCCTTGCTGAGGTTGCCAGGGCCTGGGCGGCCAAGAAGCCCCAGGGCAACGAGTTCAAGATAATCTCTGGTGCTTTGACCGAGGTCGAGTCCTTGGTTGTCGCCAAGGACATGGCCAACAAGCTTGGATCCGATAATCTCGCCCTCGACACTCCCACCGGTAGCCAGCCTATTGCCCACGGAGTCGATGTTCGATCCAACTATCTGTTCAACTCACGTATCTGGGGCATTGAGGAGGCCGACTGCATTCTGATTGTTGGCAGCAACCCCCGACACGAGGCCGCTGTCTTGAACGCCCGCATTCGCAAGCAGTGGCTGCGATCCGACCTCGAGATTGGTGTTGTTGGTGAGACGTGGGATTCTACCTTTGAGTTTGAGCACCTCGGAACCGACCATGCCGCCCTGAAGAAGGCCCTCGCCGGCCCCTTTGGCAAGAAGCTACAGGCTGCTAAGAGGCCCATGATTATCGTCGGCTCCGGTGTTACCGACCATGCTGATGCCAAGGCCTTCTACGAGACTGTTGGTGCCTTTGTTGAGAAGAACGCTGCAAACTTCACCACTCCTGAATGGGATGGCTACAACGTTCTGCAGAGAGAAGCTTCAAGAGCCGGTGCTTTCGAAGTTGGCTTCACGACGCCTTCAACCGAGGTTGCCCAGACCAAGCCCAAGTTCGTCTGGTTGCTGGGTGCTGATGAGTTCAACGAGGCCGACATCCCTCAGGATGCCTTTGTAGTCTACCAGGGCCACCACGGTGACCGTGGCGCTCAGATTGCCGACATCATCCTGCCGGGCGCTGCTTACACGGAAAAGGCCGGTACTTATATCAACACCGAGGGCCGTGTCCAGACCACACGTGCTGCCACTTCTCTACCAGGCGCTTCCCGCACTGACTGGAAGATCCTCCGCGCTGTCAGTGAATTTCTGGGTGTGTCTCTACCTTATGACGATCTCGCCGCTGTTCGGGACCGTATGATTGAGGTTTCACCGGCCCTGGCTGCGTACGACATTGTTGAGCCCGTTGCCCTTCGACAGCTTAGCAAGGTTCAGTTGGTGGATCAGAACAAGGGGTCAAAGGCTACTGGAGAGCCTTTGAAGAAGGTTATTGACAACTTTTATTTCACAGACGTCATCTCTAGAAGGTATGTTTGAAGTCAAATCGCTCCGATTGCCGAGTTCCAGCTGCTGACTACTTTCCTTTCCTCAGTTCACCAACCATGGCACGCTGCTCCGCGTCCAAAGCTACGGGTGACCCCAGGACAAACTTTATGGCTCCTGGAATGGAGGAAGATAAGCCCATGGGCCAGGTTGCTTATGGAGTGTAAGAAGACTCTGTCGGCTGTACCAAATTAAAAAGATTCCATTTGTCAGCTTCGGTGGTTGCTGGTGTCTCTTGTACATATATGACGGCGGGCTAGGAGAAGAGTGAGTAGTTGGGGTAAATAATTACCATATTGACAGTACTGCGCATGTGTTTTTTCTCTTCTTTCCTCTTCTTCTTTTTTCGTGATGCTCTACCAGCCGTCTCCCTATCTCGCGCCGTACTTTTACCCTTCATCAACCATAGGTCAGTCCTTGCCCCTTCCCACGAAGGCGTTTCTCGCCGCGCATGTGTTCCCACCGCACGAATTACTTCTCCTCGTCGCGTTCCCGCTCACGCTCCCGCTCCCTCCGTTCCTCCCTCTCCAGCGCCTCCTCATACCGGGCCCTCACCCTCCCGACGTGCTCCCCGAACCCCTTCAAGTCGGCCATGGTCCTGGCCACCGTCCTCAGCACCTCCCTCTCCCCCCACTCGCGGGGTCCCGAGACGAGCCAGCCCGAAAAGTCAGGCGTCCGCGGCAGCTCCCTGTCCGCGCCGGGCTCCCACGGCGCCTGCATGTTGGCGACCATGGCGGCCTTGTCCGCGGCGCTGGCGACCCTGCTCCTG